AGATGTTTTCAAGAATTGTTTTAAGAATGTGTTTAAATCTTAAAAATGCAGCCTTTCCAAGTAAAGTACACATTTCTTTAATAAATGCACTAACTATGGCATTTTAAGCAATAGTTTTGCCTGTGCAGAGCACAACTCCTAGTTATGCTTTCAGAAGGCTTCCCAATTACGCGCCCTGGCTCAGCAGCAGGACCATGCTTCAGTTGAGTTTCTCAATGAGCCACAGTTCCTACAGGTGTAACCAGCAAGCCCTCCAAAGAGCCAGATCCTCACACAGGTATGGTGGCCCTTGGGACATTCACTTTTCAGCCAACCATGAGCAGGTTAGCTGTTGGCCATGTTCACAGAGTGCCTCTCCCATAGGGACGAGGAGGAAGACGACGCAGGGGAGCAAGAGCCAGTGCTCGGTGAATGAAGAATAGATGCTTATTGAATAATGATCAGGGAACGTGAAAGTGAAAATAACTCGGAAGGATTCTGAACTTTGAGAGACTGCAGAGTTAAGCTTTGCAATCAGTGGCCTCAAATGATGAGGAAAAATGTGTAGGTGTCCACTGGTCTGAGATAGCAACTTTCCAGACAGGTGCTGCTGTGGACCTCAGGCAGCAGATGGAGAAAGTGCAGGGCCAAGGAGTGGGGTGAACACGACAGGGGTTCCAGCACCCACTGTCTGACCCCCAGCTCAAAAATGGACTGTTCTGCATAAATTACTAAAAATTATGTATCTAGATACAAATTCCCCACTTTTCAAGGACATTCTAACAAGACTAGTAGGAGATATGAGTTATTTGAAACACATTTCATATGCCTGTGTGTAAAAGGAGTCGATAACTCCTGCCATGCCAGATAAAGCAGACATTTCTGTTTACCCAAAATGGCACTATCACCAATAGCAAAGCATATGGCCTGAGTAGCATGCTGTAACACCAAGCCACTGGGAAGGCTAGGCCTGTGTGGAATACCCGCCACTTGTCCCAAGGATGAGGTCCTGGAAAGCTTGCTGTTTTGGACCACTGTATGCAAGTCACACAACATTTACTATTTGGCTTAGTCTTCCAGTCTTGAGAGGAAAGTGCAGTATTACTATGTCCTTATGTAGATGATGAAAGAGGAAAGGCAACCCCATGGCTAGCACTGCATACAGCGGGTGAAAGCAAATATGCCTGACTTTCTTTCTTTTTTTTTTCTTTTCAAAGTTTTATTGATAAATATATAGCAATGAGACAGTTTCAAATCAAATCGAAAGTACAGTTTCAACAAATAATACACTGCATATATTCTTCTTAGTGGTTAAGTGCTGTACAAG